AAGTATCCAGCCCCGCTTCAATTGTGACTGTTGTGTATTTTAATATTTTTTGTACCGTCTTATTTATCCCCTCCCCGGTTTTATTGTGAGCCGCCCGGAGTCCTTCAGGAGTGGGCGGCATACAAAACCAATAAACGAAACGAAATGCAATGTATTAGAGTTGTAAAGTACTTCAGATCCACTTGGGAAAGGGTGCTTGCAGAAACATAATTGCAAGACTCATAAAAAGTAGCCTGGCTTTTTTTTAGAAATATAATTCAATATTTGGCTTTCCAATGATGACTCTTGAAATTAAAATCTGAACATAACTGCTATTCATAATTATGTCCATAATTATATTTAAGGAAAAAAAATAATGAAAACATGCAGTCATTTTTCTAATTCATTGGGACAATGTTCAAGGTCGAGATCTCCATTACATTATTTCTATTATATTAATTCTTTTAACTTATAAAAGGAGATTACCTGTAGCATCTATCTGTAAGTGGAGTAATAACCAATCTTGGAGTATTGCCAAGATATTCATATCCATACCGTAAGGCAGCATTTATCATCTTTGTTTCTAGATGCCCTTCCTAGTGGAAGACAAGAAATATACATATAAAAAAGGCTGAAGATAAATAAAAATAAAGAATAAGTAGGCTTGCAGTAAACCTAATTTTAAAAACAATTATTTTACAAGTCCCAAGGGTGCTTTTCGAAAGGCAACTGGACTTTCTTGTGGGGGGAGGATTTCCTTGAAAACATTTCACTTCTCATCCAAGAAACTTCTTCAGTTCTTAATGAATGGTGAGGAATGGAAAGATTTACATTCTTTGGAGTCATGTGGTCATTAGAACTCTGAGGTTGGATATTAGCCCTCTGAGAGTCGATGAGGCCACTTGGGGATATATTTGTACTCTCTGGGCGATCTGAATCAGGTCTGGTCCATTCTCAAATTCAACCTCTTTTTGGGTGGCTTCTCCAAATTCGGAGAAGAATTTTGGGGGAAGGGTTTGGTTTGATTTAGTTTGAATTATCCTACTGGTCAGAAGTCAGACCTCTCTGAATAACCTCTTCCCAACATTTTACTAGACTGAACAGAAAAAAAACCCCAACTGTATTTGGGAAAAGAGAAAGTAGGAAGAGAAAGAGAAACATCTACAGCAATGGAGGCTTTCCTTAAAATGCTCCACTCCTTTCATATACACATGTGACATCATGATGCCATACAAAAAGGGCCAGAGCTTGTAACAGGATGCCCAGGTGATCATACCATAATTTATCCCCTTGATCCTTAATTAATTAATCAGGCTTAGCTATTTAAAGGATCCTAATTGAGAAAGTTCTTGGATTTCAGAACATATCAGCAAAAAAAAATGGCTCTTATTATTGTATTTTTCTTCCTATGTCAGTAATGAGTCCAAATAGAAAAGCTGAGTGCAGAAGTTACCTCCTAATAGGATTCACAGAGAATCCCTTACCTGCCAATAGTATCTCAGCTGGCTTAGCCATTCAAAGTCGCTGTCATCACTGACACGCTTGTCTACAAGAGATACAAGCACATCCCTAGCGTGAACATCCAGGACCACAAGTGCTCCAAGGGTCACTCGATTCTGTTTTGACAACTTCCCTCGCACCAAGGACACAATGCCATCGATTTGCCCATTGCACTGGGTCAGGTAATCCTCAAGGGCCTGAGTGAAAAAGAAAAAAAAATGGAGAGAAGTAAATTAGCTCCAAACATCAACATCTGTTTTCATTTCATTTCATTTTCATTTTCATTTATTTGTATGCCGCCCTTTTCCCTGAAAGGGACT